GGTCGGAGAAGGCGAGCGCGAGAGGGTAAGCTGGCTAAAGGAACGGAAAGCCGTCAATACTGCATTTGCCACAACGAGTTTCATACGCGTGGTGGAACTGGGATGGGAGCGATCTTATTTATACTTGTTCTGTAAGGGACTGGTGCGAATAGTATCCTAATCGCATCATTCCCTTTCACGCTCGTTAAATAAGAATGGGATAAATGCAACCGTGGCGAAATGATAGTGCCATAAGGCTATGCGAAGACAGAAGTGCCCATACCTCCAAAGAGCACCCATACTTAAAGAAAAAATGAAACCCCTGGACACTTAAAACAGGGGATAATTTAGTAAGATCCCACACGTAAGGTATAGGAGTGAATATCGGCATAAAACAGGATTACGAAGAGGCAGACTACCATCCCCTGGGAAGGGGTGGTGGGGCATGCTAATGAACATAGCAAAAGAGAGCTGCAAAACAAGGAAGGAAATGGAACGGGCGGACATAAAGGTAAAGCATGCCACAGGACCCAGGGGATTGCAGCCTAAGCGTTAGTATTCCCGTAAACCCGTAAAGGGTAAACCCGTAGGAATGATTGTGATTGATGTAGATAACACGATCGGCAGGCTGGGGTCACACTTAGACACGACCAGCGGCAATCTTGATATAAATCTAGGCTATAAATCATAACTTTACAAACAAACATTGAAAACTACATCTTTGTAGCATGAATTTTTACTCCAAAAGCTCGCGAGTAGGCTTCCATTAAACGCTGATTATCTCGAAAACAAGCTCGGGACACCCAATTTTATTTTCCAGATTTGGAATCAGCATTAGATTTCAATTCGGAAAATGGAAGTTTTAAAAAGATTATATATATTTTTCCAAGAGTASGCAGTCGATGAGCGCAAGTATAAACGTGAGTGATAGAACTGAAAAATACTATACGTTATTTCTCAGTTCTATCACTCAGTTCTATTATTTCAGGCTGCATAATGAAATAACTTGGCATGTAGTTTTTTAATATACCTTATATACACAAAAAAGGTAACAATTAAACTCTTACACCCTAGCCTTGAGAGGATTTTTACTTTTTTTCTTTTACTGTTGCTGTTATCATTGTTATCATTGTATTTAACTCACTTGACTGGAAAGGATATCCATATATTTCTGTGCTCAAGCATGGTGTATTAGCCTGGAATGTCTTGGGTACAATGCGTAGATATCTTGTAACAATACCATGGTAAAGAACTTGACGTACCAACGCCGTACGATCATAGTTGCCGTAGAATGTCTGTGGATTCGTAAAAAAAATGGTTTATGTCCCAACAGTAGATGTATTTATCTGGTACATCTTCACACGATCGCTCATCTATCTATCTGCTCTGCAGTCTATCAATGCTGTATTTAGGTAACGGGTTAACGGAGTTTTTCCGTCAGTAGATGTATGTGTTATCTTGAGGTACGTCTTCACTCACTGATCTATCATACTATCACTA